CTCTCTCTCTCTCTCTCTCTCTCTCTCTCTCTCTCTCTCTCTCTCTCTCTCTCTCTCTCTCTCTCTCTCTCTCTCTCTCTGGGTCTTCTTCTTCGTCGCGGTCTTCTTTGCAGGTGCGCGGCGGCTTCTCCAACTTCGGGTCCGCTATGGCGGACTATATCCCTCAGCGGCCACCTCTGCTATGGCGCGTCAGGCCCTGCACACGACGGTGCGCATGGAATAGTGGGTACCAGCTCCGATACCAATGCAATCAGACTCGTTCTCAAACACACTTGTCATGCATGTAAACAGCAACGCAGCAAACTGGCGACATGCGCCCACTCAAAACTCATAGATATAGCTTCCAGATACGAGTTCACTCTTAACCGGCTATGGCGACTTCAGCGCCCAAACAACTCACTGTTCACACACACTGGATCACCCTGGATATCCCACACGCGTCACTCTGAACACTCGAACACACACACACACTTCCTAACAACAGCTATGGCAGCTATGGCTGCCTCTAACCTATCGCTATACTAACTCCTCTCTCGCCCACTGCGTCCTCCGGGCTCATCTGCAGACCTCCTTGCACAAGTCGCTGTGGCAGCGCTTCCGCATGGCTCACGCAGGAATCCATGAATGGCTGGGCGCTGCCTCTTGCTTTATACTTCGGAAACTCGTTGGTCTGCCCTTTGCCATCGGCCCATGGTGCTCACAGTCCCCCGTGGTACTTGCTGGACCGGACTGGGACTRACTGGATCTTACCGCTGACTGACTGTGGACTCACTGCTATCCTACCGAGATCGCACTGCGATTGCATTGCAGTTTAGTCCACCACTTGCCTCGCCACTTGACCACTTGCCCACTTGCCTACCTTCTAGAAGGACTACAGCTAGACTTCTGGAACTTGCTAAGACTTCTATTCTATAGACCTACAGATCGAAACCCTTGCTGCCTACGGACCTACGACAGACCTACCAACTGTCTACGAATACACAGGTCGCAGGTTCAACTCTCAGGGTCTACACAGATACTGTACACGGGTAGGGTGCGGTCTAGGGATCGAGCCCTGGGTACTGCATCTGCTACTGCTAAAAGGTGAAAACCGTTTCAATGTCGTTGTTGATGTCGATACTGTGCGCTGCTGAACGTCTTCACGAGAGAACTGTGCCACGTGGCACTTTTGATGTGATCTGGCCTGTCAGGCTCGTTATTGGACAATGTTGCTGGTGTGGAGGAGAGAGGGAAGCCCAGAGAAGGAGAGGGTATTGTTGGGCTGCTATCTCTGTGGTCACTGATGGATATCTCTTCCACCCTCTAATCTGTTTATTCCCCCTCTCCACTCTTCGTCACATTGTTGGTTACCAGACATTGTATCAAACATCACATTCACAATTATTTGGAGACATTATTCAGAGCTGAGATCTCTTGTATTTCGACATCTGACGAGTATCTTCCAGACAGGGTGCATTACAAATAAAGATGATCACAGCTTTAATGCACCACAACACGAGTTCTCATAATTCAACTGTGACTCTACATCAGTGATACTATAATCTTCATAAGTCGTGGATATGAGTTGTCCGAAGATTCTCTTAGTTTCTCGTGTCAAAATTGACATGCTAACAATGGCATAGTGAATAGACAACGCAAAAAGGACAAGATTCTGTTGAACGTTCAGTCTTGCTACTTTTACTGTTCCCCTGTCAGTTCTTTGAAACTGTTCCTCTGCTGGATGGTTGGTCTCTCTTTCCTTTCCTCTTGCCACTGTAAGAATAAAATCAGCCCTGGGTTGGCTTTTTGATAGACGCTAGTAACCCAAGACAGGGCCTGACTCCTCCGCCCTGGGTTGACTTTTCAATAGACCCCAGTAACCCAAACCTTTTGACCTGAAGGATGTCTCAAACACCATTCGGGCCTAGAGAGCGACTTTTCACCACAAAACTCAGGCCCAGACTGTAAACACAACCCTAGACTCCATTCTAAAGCAACTTTCACTCGTGTTCTTTACCATGTGATGAAAACAAAAGCATGGAGTTGAGAAATGTGATCATCTACTTGCAGACCAGACTGTAAACACGGCCCTAGACTCAATTCTAAAGCAACTTTCACTCGTGTTTCTTTACAGTGTGATGAAAACAAAAGCATGGAGTTGAGAAATGTGATCATCTCCTTGCAGATGAAGATAGCCGGCACATGGTACAGTCAACAAATAATCGATGAGAGGTATGCAGCCGGTGAACATAATAATGGACCACATCACACATCCTTGGAGTATGAAAAAGGCAAAAGAGGACTAGTAACCTTACCAACAGGTCCAGCAGGAATTTGTGGCTGTGATTGTGGAGGGGGCTTCCAGAGGCCAGCTTGACTTTTTCCAGTTCCACCAACTGCATGCACGCCACGCAATGCTCTGCACGGTATGCACTCATAGAACACCAACAGGATGGCATTCAGTTCCACTAGAAACACATGAATGGTTTTGTGCTGCCTAACTGGCAACAATTGGCTCTTGACACTTTCTAACGGTCGTTCACGGATGACACTGATGATCACATTCAAGTCACAATGGCTCACAAAGGGACCACCATCTCGCATCCCACTGCACACACTTCCCTCTGAACCCTTATATGAGCATATCACAATGCCCATTCCCCTTGCCATACATCTCTCCCTCCATTCACATCATATTTTCCACCATATCATGTCATAAGACTCATAACCAACTCACAACCATACAAAGAGAAACGGATATATGCAGGCATATGTAACCATTTACTGCATTCCTTCATTCCATCTGGCGTGCTCGGGTTCAGTCCCAATAGGGCCGGCAGTGAAAAGATCTCAACTCTGACAAATAGAACAAAGAGACAATTATGGGTTCACTATCACTCCGCAGCAGCAATGACAAACACAAATAAATATCATCGTGGTGCGCCCACGGCTTGGTTGTGGTGGATAGTCAATCCCCTCTCAAGAGGGTAAGCAATGTGCCTCTCCTTTCACATCTACACCTTTGCTCCTCTCTAGTAAGAGGGATGATGGACCCGGTTTCCAGCAGGTGCAGCTCCCCACCAATAGATTGGAGCCATCTATGCATGGGATGCCTACTATTGGAGTCATCTCACTCGAGATGCTTGTAACGACCTACCAAATCATAGACTGAGAACTGTTCTGTTTCTCTGAGTTTTGCTGCTGGACTGAGAGACTTCTTGAGATTCCTGTATTGTCCACGTTTGTGTGGTTAAGCGGCAAGTGGCCACACGCCTGTCTGCAGCCGAAGCGGCACGCTTGCACAAATTTATTATCCCTATAGCTCCTAAAGCCTGGAGTGGGCCCATCTAACGCCCCCGTGCCAACCCCAAGAGAAACCGTCAGGGGGCAGTCCTCTCAAGGCTCCGCAGGTCCAGCCGGCTCTGTTTCGGGGGCCCTGTTTGTTTTCTGCCCCAGAGTGTTCGAATACAAGCACGTAGCAGTCTGTGGTGGTGTCATTTCGTTTTTCCTTTTCAGTTGTCGTGGTGTTGTTCCGTTTTTTTTGTTGTTGTTGTTTTGAAAGGGAGCACGTCTAAGGCTCTACTCGGTCGACGGCAGGATCACTTTGGCCTTGGCTACAACACTCACCAACTGTGCAAAATGAGAATGAATATCCCGCTGGAACATGGGAAGATACACCGCTGTTTTTTTTCTTTTCTTTTTTGTAGCCCACATTTGGGCTTGGCTCCAGCACTCACCAAATGTGCAAATAAGACTCTCCCGCTAGAACATGGGAAGATACACCGCTGTCGTGAAGTAGCTGCTTTTGCTCAATTTGGCTCAGATCTTGATGCCGCCACTCAATATTTATTAAGCCGTGGCGCAGTGCTTTGGTTCCGTTGATTTCAGGTTGGGGAAACTACTTGCTTGAAAAGCTTTTGAAGCTTCGAGACGCGTTAGTCAAAGGAGAATTTGAATGGGGAGCAACTTGTATTCTGCCGAAACCTGGGAAGAAAGAAAAGCATCCACTGGGAGTATCATGCTTCCAGGACAGGATCGTACAAGAAGTTCTTAGAATATACCCTCAATTGAAATGAAATTGGGTGAGTACTGGCGTATTAGCATGAAATCAATCATTCGAGTCAGTCGTTACGGGGTCTATGAAGGCCCTCACATTCATTGAATTGCTTTCTTTTCTACATACAATTTTATTTTTTTTCTTGCTCGGTCGACAGCAGGATCCCTTTGGCCTTGGCTACAACACTCACCAACTGTGCAAAATGAGAATGAATCTCCCGCCGGAACTTGGGAAGATACACCGCTGTGCAATCAGACTCGCTTTCTTCTCATTTCACATGCATGCAAGCAGATGGCAAAGCACGCTGGCGCTAGGCGCCTACACAAAGCTCTAAGATATTCAATCCGTGAACACAGTTTGGATACAACTCACTTCAGATTAGCTATGGCAACTAAGTGCCCAAACCTTTACTTCCCAACTCTGTAATCACAGCGTCTGCACACACACACTTTACACTGGATCTCCCTGGATATCCCACACGCACAAACTCTCACTGCCCCCGCTTACACACACACACGCTCAAGTCTACTCTAACCTAGCGCAGCTATGGCTGCCTGCTCTATCTTCCTCTCAGCCCACTTCGACTTCGGGCAATCTGCAGACCACCTCGCACAAGATGCTCTGGCACCGCTTCCGCATGGATCGCAACAGAATGAATGCAGGACTGGACGCTGCCCCTTGATTTATACTTCTGTTGGCTGCTGGTTGCACACAGTCCCACATGGTACTTGCTGACTGGACTAAGTGAGACTGGGACTGGGTACCGCTGACTAAGCAAGGTTGGACTCACCACTTGCCCACTTGCCTCTGGTCTGAAGTGACCAATGTTCGAAAGGCCACTTCCGGACCTTCCGGAAGCCTGCAGACTTGGCCTTTCGGAACTGTAGCAGCTACGATCTTGACCTTTCAGAACTGTAGCAGCTACGACCTTGACCTTTCAGGATCGCTACAGCTCAGCCTCTACACAACTATGACCCCTACTCGACAGACCTACCGTTCAAGACCCGACGGTTACGTCGACCTACGACAGACATCAACTGACTCCTAAAAACGCAGGTCACGGGTTCAAACACACAGGGGTACTGTACACGGGTGAGGTGAGGTCTAGGAATCGAGCCCTGGGATCTGCATCTGCTACTGCACAGGCGAAAACCGTTTCACTCCTGCCGGCCTAAATTCAAGGTCCTCCAAGAATACTTCAGTGCAAGGCAGGACCTTTCCCTTTCGAACCAGCAGCTGTCTTCTGGTTCTTGAAAAGAGAATCTGACTTTATACTGTTTCTGTGGACGACCTCTACCTCCTGTTCTGCATCCTCATCAATTATAGGATCAATGTCGTACCTTCCGTCCATGTCTGGAAGAATCATTGACCTTCTCGGCGAAAACTGTTGACTCGTCGTGCAAGGTAACAACTTTGATGTGTGAAAAACTGGATATGTATGGAGGTGTGCTGGATCTCAATTCTGTAGGACGGTCCATCCTCTCCGCCCTTGACTTCTAGGACTGGCCACGGTCCCCTATAAGCAGACAATTGTTATGAACTTGGTTGTTTGACACTTTGATTGCCACTCACACACACAAGAACTCACACACGCCCATACATGCATGAGACACAGGGGAGGAAGAGACAGAGTCCACCTGCACACAGACCAGAGATAAACAGCCGAAGATCAACCATGCACAGATGGGGAGAATACACACAGTGTTCTCTCTCTCTGATAAACTCTCAACAACCAATCACAGCATGACACTGCGAAGATCACAATTAGAAAGTAACCCAGATGATGAGCCAACTCAACACAATTAACCTCAATTATCGTTTCAGAGTTAAACCCAGTATCTCGCCACACAAGAACCACACACCCCACTCCCTACTACACTCTCAGAGTCTAGCGCTGCACTGAAATAGCCTCCCAGAGGCCAGCGCCATACACCCACATGAAGATCATGAACAACAATGTAGTCCCCAGTGCCGATGAGCCACTCTGACGATGAAGAAGGCAGCTATGGCTGCCAGGCTGCTACCGCAGCAATAGTCAGTGAAGACCCTCCGATAGTCCTGCCAAACGCAGATATCCCCTGGGGATAGATGCGCTGAGCACGGCCCCAACTATGGCTGTCTCAGGTAGGCCGGCTATGGCTGCTTCACGCAACTGATGTCGCACGTGCCGCTGTAGACATTCAACGCTGCTAAACTTGGTTGGCCACGAACGCAGTCACGCGAAAATGAAAAGCCAAAAGTCCCTACCCGATTTCCCTACCAGACTTATAGACTTCCTACCCTAGCCTAGACCTAGACTGGACTAACTGGACCTACCGGTACCGCTGCTGTTTCGGCCTCTCGGCCTCTACCGKACCCGGCTATAGGCTATAGGACTGTATAGCAGTATAGGCCGCTTAGGGCCTGTCTGTCCTAGGGGTAGCCCGGGCCTGCTATAGGCAGTTAGGGTAGCTGTAGGAACTCAGTTAGTACCAGGTCTGTATTTTCCCAAAAATTACAGATTTGTCCCTCACGAATTTCCACACAGGCGGATCTCTCGGTTAGCCCTCAGCCAAACAAAATTACAAAACTAACCCTACAGGTTAGTGTACAGCTTCGCAGACAATCTCGGCAACAGGAATCAGCAAGTCATTGCAGGCTTACCCTTCCCGGGAGCGAGGACCTCCGAGCTAGGGGTGCAGACGAGGTGAACGGCGAAGGTCACCCTTCTGAGCCGCCTCATACCGCAAAACTACAGACTTTGCTGTCTTGATCAGGTCTCTTCTGTAGAACCAGCGGTTCTCAGAAGGGGGCTGAAACGCAAACCTGACAAGATACTGCCGGTCGGGGCCAGTGCCCCACTCATACTCAATGGCCACCACATCATACCACTTACCAAGGATTGGTGGGCCCCATTGAGGGGGCCGGTCAGGAAATACATCAGCTGGCGTAAAAGGCAGCAGCTTGGATGCATGAAAGACCGGATAGGTTCGTAGATGCAGCGGAACATCGATGGCGTACGATGGGCCGAAGGGATCAGCGCCTACTGTATCTAGAACCTGCCACGGACCCAGGTAGCGCGGCAACAACTTGGGAGAAATATCCTCCTCCCTCGACAACTTTTAACCCAGACATAGTCACCAATGCGGATGGGGGAAGGCCGCCTGTGGCGGTTAGCTTGTTCAATCATGGCCTTTTGGGCCTTGGACAAGTTCGCCCGGGCTCTTTCCACATCCAGACGATAGCGTCTGGCGAACTCTGCAGTGCTTGGGATAAGGTCAGGCTTAGCGTTGTCGATGATATCATCGAGAGGCTGTCGTGGCTCACGTCCCCAATGTAGTCGGTAGGGACTGAACCCTATTGAGGAGTGGACAGACATGTTATACATGAGTTGTGCCCTCGCCAGGTGGAGATCCCAGTCCTGCTGATCTGGAGAGATCATAGGACGTAGCAACTGGAACAGGACTTGGTTCATCACTTCAGCCAATCCATTGGCTTCAGGATGACGACCAGAAGTCATGTCCAAGCGTGAGTGCAGATAGTCCCTGCAGTAGGACTGCCACTCATCGCTGCAGAATCTGGGGTCTCGATCACTAACGATAGAAGTGGGCGGTCCATGGTGTGTGACCCACCTCTCAGAAAAGGCTGCTCTCACAACCGGTACCCTGGCTACCTTTGGCAAGGCGATGAACTCTGCGTATTTGGAAAACCTGTCCACGCAGACCATGACCTGACGCATGCCACGAGGGGTAGTCTTGCCTAAGTCTGTAAAATCAATGGATACAGACTGGGCAGGACCATCGGGTATGGGCAAAGGTTTGAGCAATCCCAAAGGAGGTTTACGTTGAACCTTGTTCCTTTGGCAGAGCTCACAGGTGTCCACATAGCGCAGCATATCACTCCGCATCTCCTTCTAGAAGAAGCGTTGCGACAGGGCTGCATACGACTTTAGGAACACAAAGTGTCCACGCGCATCGTGGCACTCTGGCATCAGCAGTGTCCTCAGCTGCTGATCCTCAGGGATGCACAAGCGCTCCTCTCCTCTGCTGCAAGTGTACAACAGATCTGAACTCGTGGCATAGCCAGGTTCAGAGTTGGGATCTGCTTGCAGATTCCTGACGATGGGTCCATAAGTCGGATCCTGAGGCAGTAAACGAGCAATGGTCTGACGGACCTCCTCTCCAAAGGAATGAGTAGAGGAGATCAACGCAAAAGAGTCAGGCCTACGAGAGAGGGCGTCAACTACTTTGTTGTAGCAGCCCTTCTTGTGCTTCAGTTCGAAGTCAAACAGATCAATGAACTCAATATAACGTGCCAACTTATCATTCAACTCTCCCTGGGACTTCAACCACTACAAAGTGGAATGATCAGAAAAGATCTTGAAGTGCCTGCCCAGGAGAAAGTGTTTCCAGTGTTTCAGGGCACTGACAAGAGCATAAAGCTCTTTCTCGTAGGTAGAGTCTTGAAGCTTCTGAGTCTTGATCTTCTTACTCATGAACTCTACAGGTCTCAAACCATTCCCATCATCCTGCTGAAGGACTGCCCCAATGCCATACTGGCTAGCATCCGTAGTCAGTACAAAAGGCAAGGTGGGGTCAGGCAACTTCAGAACAGGTGCACAAGTCAAGGCCTGTTTGAGTCGTGCAAAGGCCATCTGACAGTGAAGGGACCAAAGAAAGGGAGTGTCTTTCTTTGTGAGGTTAGTCAGGGGTGCAGCCACTGCAGAAAAGTTCCTGACGAACTTTCTGTAGTAGGAGGCCAGACCCAAGAAAGACCGGACATCTCTCACTGTCTGGGGTTGTGGTTAATCCTGAATAGCAGCAACTTTGGCTGCTTCAAGGGTCAGTCCATCTCCAGAGATTACGTGGCCCAGATTACAGAGGGAACTCCAAAGGAGGACTTCTCTTTGTTGATCTTATACTAGCTGTCACGTAATGACTGCAGAACCAGAGCCAGGTGCTCCGCATGTTCCCTAGTAGTTTTGCTGAATACCAGGATATCATCCAGGTAGACAACCATAAACTTATCCAGGTACGGCCTGGATATGCGGTGCATCTCAGTCTGGAATGTGCCAGGTGCATTGCAAAGTCCAAATGGCATCACCAGGTACTCATAAGTACCATACCTGGTTTTGAAAGCCGTCTTGTGGACATCCTCCTCTGCCATCTCAATCTGGTGATAGCCAGATTTGAGGTCGACTTTGCTGAAGATGGTGCAACCCTGGACCATATCCAGAAGGTCATCGATCCTAGGAAGTGGCTCTATACTCTTCCTAGTGATCTTGTTGAGACCCCTGTAGTCAATGCACATTCTCATCTCACCACTCCACTTTGGAACAAAGAGGACTGGAGCACCGAATTCAGAAGTGCTGGGCCTGATCCAGCCCTTGCTGGTCAGGGTCTCAAGCTGTCGCCTGAGCTCCTCAAGCTCAGCAGGTGACATCCTGTAGATGCGGCCCTTGGGAGGGACCGCTCCAGGCAGCAACTCAATGTGATGCTTGGTTGGCCGGTTGGGTAACCCAAACGGCTCCTGCATCAGATCAGCATACTGGTCCACAACCTGCCGTATCTCAGGAGGACAGGGAGTAGTGGGAGCGTCTGTCTGCTTGACCAGAGCTATAAACAGACGCTCATGGTCATACTGGCGTGAGAGAGCATAAAACTCTCTCGCTCTCAAGCAGAAGCATGAAGTCTTAGGGTGGTGATCAGCTGCAATCATACAAGGCTGATACACCCCCTTGCTGTTCGGCAGCTCAACCTTGGGGATCTGCCAGTCGATCCTTGGGTTGACTGCTCTCAGCCACTGCATAGAGAATACCAGGTCAAAGGGTAGATCAGGGAATATGTAGAAGTTCAGCCTATGTCTGATTTCTCCAGCACTATTGAAGGTAACAAGGATACCCCTGACCTTCTCCCCGATGGTCAGAACAGTGGAGTCACCTATCCTGACCTGCAACGGTTGCTGCAGTTGCACCACTTTCATGCCCAGATGCAGCTTTTTAACTGCACTGGGAGACATGAAATTCCGGGTGGCTCCACAGTCTAATAACCCCTTGATCCTGTTGTGGTTGATCAGGGGCCGGAGGAGTATGAGATCAGACTTGTTCTGCTTTTGTTCTTTCAGATGAAAGAAAAAATCAGCAAGAGCCTGAGACTCAGACTGGTCCGGTTCCTGATCCGGGTCAGGATCCTCATAGATGAAGGATGCTGCCTGCGCAGTCCCCACACTGGATGGGAAGGAACTAGTCTCAACTGAAGTTGCTACAGCTGCAGATGCAGGTGCAACACTGGAGGGAACTGCTGTCTCCAGGTTCAGCTTCAGTTTTTTGACTGAGCTGGGCTAGGCATGTAGGGACAGTCCTTCAAGAAGTGTTGTCCCTCACACCTCAAGTAGACACCTCTCTCCTTCCTCTTCCTCCACACTCCCTCCTGGATCTTCAGATCATGCTATGGGAGAGTGTTGGGGTTCAGAGGGTCTGCTGGGAAGTGGACGTCACGTGGTAGGTTAGGGCGCCGGGCAGGGGTTGAAGAGCGACGTCCCTTGCTCTTCCCCTTGCTGCTGGAGGCTGTGCTGGAGGCTGACCCGGCCTTTTGGAAAGCCCCCAGCGCAGCCTGCAGCTGCTGTACAACTACTGCAACATCCGGGACAGCAGCTGAAACAGTCCCAGCAGGCAGTGTACTAGGCTGGGATCCTGTCTCAGAAGCTGACCCAACCCGCATACGCAAAGGCCGCCTTTCCCTTTCTACCACCGCGAGGGAAGGCGCCTCTCCTCCTATCACTAGAGGGGGCCTGAACATGAAGCTTGGCTTCCATGTCCAGTGATGCACGTCCAAACGATCGCCGGTCTTTTTGTCCGGCGCTGTACAAAGCAACACAAAAATTTTCAGGCACAACCCTGCAAAAGTTAGTCAATAAATCATCAGCAGATATAACCAATCCAGGGGTGGAAGTCAGCTGCTCAAACTCAACAAATAAAGCCTGCCGACTGCCGCTGTAACGCTGCTGGCCCAGGCGTACTATTTTATCAGCAGCTTTTTGGACTCTCTCTTTGTCTGCAAACCGGTCTTCCAAGGCCTGCAAAAGTTTGTCAGCCCCCAGTGCCAAGGCCCAATCCTCCAAAGTCTGATTCTGGGCGCTTGCTGTAGAGGTAGCCCATTTCTGGGCAGGCCCCTCCAGCAGCCCCACAACAGTAGCCACCTTTTGCTGCTCGGGGCACTGGAACCCTTTCAGATAGGCCCGGGTTCCAGCTGCCCAGTCCCCCACATCAATCTTGGGGTCATCCCCCTTGAATTTGCTGGGGGCAGGGATCTTCGGACCTCTGTGGTCCCCAGCAACCACCGCAGCAAAGGTGGGAGGAGGTGTGGCTTTGGCCTGGGAGGAGACAAAGGGAGAAGCCTTGCGAGAAGAGGGAGGAGACCCAGGAGGTGGAGAAGGAGGTGGAGAAGGGGGCTAATAAGGCTTCTTGGGCTTTAAAGAGGGGACCACAGGGACCAGGGGACTGATGACGTTGGCTGCTGTTAGCTGAGCAGTCAGATTCGGGATTGCATCCAGGATCTTCCACTGCTGAGTTCCCAGATCAGCCACTCTGGTCTCCAGCCTCTGGATCCTCTCATCCCAGTTTGTGAAGTGGCTGGCTATAAGTTTGTCCTGCAACAATATCAGCTCAGCCAGGTCCCGTGTACACTGGGCCACCCTGGCATCTGCAAAAGTCTTTTGAGCCTGCTGCAGCAGATGCTCTTTTCTGGAAGCATCTGTTGCAGCTTCCAGCTCTGCAGCTTCTTGTCTCTCTGCAGAGACAACGTCTGTTGCTCTTGCAGTTTCTCTTGGATCTCCTTCTTGCGTTGCTGCGCAGGGGTCAGGGGAGGAGGAGGAGTTGTTGAGGGTGAAGCTTGACCCTCATCCTTAACCACTATCTCCACCTTCCCTGCACCTGTGTCAACAGTTTCAGACATTTTCCCTCTCAGAACAAACAATTAACAAAGTAAAACAGCAGGATGTGCAGCGATTTACAGTTCCCTCAGACACTCAAAATTCGCTGCACTGTCAGTTCACAGAGCCATGTGGGTTAGTGGGCACAAGCGGTTAGGGTTGGAATAGGTCCACTGGGGTCAGTAGTCAGGCTGACTGGATGTCTAGTAAAATCATGCACTAACGATTTCCTATACTTGACACTGAACTTTCACTGAAGTTGCAACATGCACTTACACCACATTCCAGAGGTCACTAGCATTCGAGAGCCCATCAGAAAGCAGAGAAGATTAGTAGTATTGATGGATACAGGCAAGAATTGACTGAAACAACACAACAAATAGTAGCGATGCAGTAACCTATATCCTGACAGACCTAGACTCAAATTTCGCCACTGTTCCCATCAACAGAAATACCCCCAGATATGGCGAATTTCAAGATTTCACTGTAATGACTCAAATTAACTGTTTCTGGACTTGCAATTCAGCATAGATGACAGAAAGTGAATTGCGATTCACCCCAGACTAACAGACTTGAATTCTGACAGACAGATTTTGAGTTGTGACTGACCCTAGATAGTACAGACTATAAATAGACTCAACGCAGAACTCAAATCCACAGTATCACTACTTTTCCTACACAGAATTCACAGTATGACCAGACAGGATGCAGCGCAATACTGTCATACAGTCCCAGAACAATTTTGAGCCAGAACAAGTCAGTAGATAGTGAGATATGAGTCAGGGTAGGGAGGAAGAAGATGAATATGGCTGTCTTGCAGTCTGACAATTTCACGATTGTAACTCTACTGACAGACAGACCATCAATTCTATTTTTTTCTGATACTAATCTAATCGCTACTCAGGGAGTCCCATGGAACACACTCACTTGAAGTATTTCACTCAGTGGGTGATGAAGCTCTGGCTAGGGCTGCCAAACCCTGGTCTCGCCAACACTTGCAGACACTCTTCCACAGCTTCCCATGTACAAAATCTCTTGGAACTTGTTGATCCGCTCCTGTATGATGTGGCGATTCAGCTCCACCTCTCAGATTCACTGAATCTGGCTCAGTGGCGACAGGAAACTCTCCTGAAGGTATCTCGCCACTGCAAGTATGAGCCGTTGGTGCTAAATTTAGCCCTGAGTAGGGTTAATTTAGTAGGAGGTGATCTTGCGATCAATCCTCCCTCAGCGCTACACTGGGATTGAAGCCGCCACCCAGTTATTACTGGATTAGGGTATAATTCGCCACCCTGATCCCAATGTAGGGTGGATGGCGAAATACCCCTATTCTCGCCACTCCCTATCAAGCACACAGACAGGCTCAGGGTGCCTGATCAATCGCAAACTGATGCCCTGCAGTCACCGCTTGTTTGTCTTCTCTTCCACTAGATCTTTACTGAAGAAGAAGAACCACCATGGCACTTCTCGCCAGTTAGTGCCAGAAAGAGAAGCTGCCCCTGTTGCGCTCAACCCTCTAAGCTCCAAGTCCAATCTTCGCTCCGATACCAACTGTTATGAACTTGGTTGTTTGACACTTTGATTGCCACTCACACAAAAGAACTCACACACGCCCATACATGCATGAGACACAGGGGAGGAAGAGACAGAGTCCACCTGCACACAGACCAAAGATAAACAGCGAAAGATCAACCATGCACAGATGGGGAGAATACACATAGTGTTCTCTCTCTCTGATAAACTCTCAACAACCAATCACAGCATGACACTGCGAAGATCACAATTAGAAAGTAACCCAGATGATGAGCCAACTCAACACAATTAACCTCAATTATCGTTTCAGAGTTAAACCCAGTATCTCGCCACACAAGAACCACACACCCCACTCCCTACTACACTCTCAGAGTCTAGCGCTGCACTGAAACAGCCTCCCAGAGGCCAGCGCCATACACCCACATGAAGATCATGAAAAACGATGTAGTCCCCAGTGCCGATGAGCCACTCTGACGATGAAGAAGGCAGCTATGGCTGCCAGGCTGCTACCGCAGCAATAGTCAGTGAAAACCCTCCGATAGTCCTGCCAAACGCAAATATCCCCTGGGGATAGATGCGCTGAGCACAGCCCCAACTATGGCTGTCTCAGGTAGGCCGGCTATGGCTGCTTCACGCAACTGATGTCGCACGTGCTGCTGTAGACATTCAACGCTGCTAAACTTGGTTGGCCACCAACGCAGTCGCGCGAAAATGAAAAGCCAAAAGTCCCTACCCGATTTCCCTACCAGACTTATAGACTTCCTACCCTAGCCTAGACCTAGACTGGACTGACTGGACCTACCGGTACCGCTGCTGTTTCGGCCTCTCGGCCTCTACCGGACCCGGCTATAGGCTATAGGACCGTATAGCAATATAGGCCGCTTAGGGCCTGTCTGTCCTAGGGGTAGCCCGGGCCTGCTATAGGCAGTTAGGGTAGCTGTAGGAACTCGGTTAGTACCAGGTTTGTATTTTCCCAAAAATTACAGATCTGTCCCTCACGAATTTCCACACAGGCGGATCTCTCGGTTAGCCCTCAGCCAAACAAAATTACAAAACTAACCCTACAGGTTAGTGTACAGCCTCGCAGACAATCTCGACAGCAGGAATCAGCAAGTCATTGTACAATAGCTTCTGTGAGATGTTCTCTTCAAGAGCAAACTCCTTTAACTTGACCCAGACTAAGTCGCCTACTTGAAACTGTGATGGGCGACAATGTTTGTTGGCTTGTTCTATCATCTTGTGCTGGGCTTTCCTGAGGTTCGTGCCCGTTAGGAATCTCGCGTTTTCACATGGTAGCAGTGGGTTAGAGGTGTGAGCGAGGGAGTGCATGGCAAGGAGGGGGCAGGGAGGATATGGCGAGGGGCATTATTGAAGCACGGTGCCGTCACCCGTGAAGGCAAGTTAGATGACGTATTTGTTGGGGTGGCGGGCATGGACGAGGTGCGTCGGGCGACGTCGCATGAGCAAATGGGCTATGGGGGGCAGGGGTTGTTAAGGGAAGTGTTTTTCGGGTGACGAAGGAGCCTCAACTTTGGTGTTTTGGCCGGAAGGGGGAGCGGATTCTCATGCTGTACATCAAGGGTTTCCCCTTCTTCCTCAACAGGATGGTGGGTAAATCTTTATGAAGGCTTGAACCTCCTGTGGCGACTCGCCAACGGCTTTGGCGAGGAGGTGCCGCACTGTTTT